AATATCGCGATGGATGAATGACTGATGAAATTTAAGGGGCACGCGTGTCTTGTAAACAATTCAGTCCTTCAAATGGGGCGAGGTTTGGGATTAAATTTTATAAACTGTGCGAGTCAGCGTCGGGTTACTGCTATAATTTCAAAATATATTCAGGAAACGATAAAACAAATCTTGATTACAGTGCATCTGAAACTGTTGTGATGGAGTTATTGAAATCAATACTAGATAAAGGACATACGTTATATATAGATAACTGGTATTCTTCGCCGAAATTGTTTTTAACTTTGGTTAGAAATGGAACAAACGTTCTTGGGACAGTACGTTGCAATAGAAAAAATATGCCGGGAGATTTTGTCAAAGCAAAATTAAAAAAAGGAGAATGTATCATAAGAAGCTGTAATGGCATACTACCGTTGAAGTGGAAGGATAAACGAGACGTCCGTATTATTTCAACAAAGCACGAAAGTGCAGAAACGATTGCACAAAACGAGAGTCACCTAAGCCCTATTTTTAAGCCAAAATGTATCGTTGATTATAATATGGGAATGATTGGTATTGATCGCCAGGATCGGGTATTAGCGAGTTTCCCTATTATGAGAAAATTCGTGAAGGGGTACCGAAAAATCTTTCTTTATATATGCGATATGGCACTTTTGAATTCATATATTCTATACAACAAAAACAGTATGGCAAAGAAGGAGAATTACAGCGAGTAACAGACTTCGAATAGCTGAAGGATTATTACAAACCGTTCCATCGCAAAGTTATAAAAGACAAGAACCATTATCGAACGGGGATATGCCAATGAGGCTACAGGCGCATCATTGGGGTCACTTTCAGAAACATACAGAACCCACGCCATTGGAAAAAAAATCCAACAAAAGCTTGCGAAGTATGTACGAAACATAAGAAAAGGAGTGAAAGTACGTGGGAATGTAAAAACTGTCTGATTACGCCCTAGACGTCTTAAAATTACTATTTGTACCCAAATGTTCTTTATTATTTCACAATTCCTTTTGTTGCACCGAAATATACATGTCATGAAAAGTATAGATTTTGCACCAGTTCGGGTACACGGCTGAACAACAGAATGCCACGGCGCGCCACCGACCGACCTTCTTGTTTACTATGGCTCGCGCAATCGGCAGATACCGTGTAGGCCAAAGGGTTAATAGGCTACTGCATGGTATGAGTGGGATCTGTGAGGGAGGAAAAGGTGAGTGCGAAAGTAACAGATATCCGTTTATGGTTATTGGATTGGATTGGTTACTCTGGATCTACCAGTCATACGACTCAAAATGAATTTATGTGTAATAATATAATTGAAGAACCAAGGCAGATCAGTCTCGCGAATAAAGAAGGAAATATGTTAACATCTAAAGGTATTAGCGACGTCATTATGAAACAATCTGACGGTAAAAATAATATACAGATTCAAATACAAATCTTCTTTCCGTTGCCAAGCTAACAGACCAAGGGTACAAAGTAAATTTTAATAGATTCGGCGCGACAATATTACAAAGAACCTGGAAACATAGCAATTATGACAATTAGTAACGCATATTATGTTACATCCTTTTTAGCAATCGAGAAAAGTGCAGCAGTATCAACAGAAGACAGAGAGACACGCAAATAAAGAAATAACAAAAGAAACGAAGAGAGAAAATTTGGCAATAGGTATGACCGACAATTGGAAAAGGAAATTGTGGCATACAGAGTTAATAGGCGTAATTAAGACATCGCGACACGGTAAGAAAAATTTTACATCCTAACAATAATAGATGATTTTTCTGGGATGATGTTCATACGATTGTTGAACAATAAAATTGAAGCTGCCGAGAAAGTTAAAAAACTGATCACGAACAAGGAAAATAAAATTGAATCAAAATTAAAGAGAATAAGATCTGACAATGCCGGAGAGTTTATAGGAAAGAATTTTTAAAAAAATGGTTTGAAAGGAAAAGCATTGTACACGAGCTGAGTCCTCCGATGACTCCGAAAGCAACGGAGTGGCCGATAGAGGTAATCGAACAATTATTAAAACTACAAGAACAAAAAGCTGGCTATTGGGATTATGGGTAAAAAGAAATAAATAACGTTATATTATAATTATCCTTATTCTCTCTTAAGAAAGGTATATCTCAATTATTCCAACTGTTCCCGTAGATAATGAAAACTGGAGTGAATAAAAAAAAAAAAACGTGCGACTGCATGTCCCGGTCCCACAATTCCTATCCAACAAAAGCGTGAAACAAAAGCCTCACGCACTCTCGGAACCTCCCCGGTCTATTATATTTTATTTCCTTGTGGTACAAATGCGCGGAGACTTTGAGTCTTCTGAGATGCGTGATGCAGAAGGTGGGTTGTCAAAAAGTGTCCCGTCGATTCGTTGCAGTAGCAGTAGCATAGTCTTTTGCAAGATCCTCCATTTCTCTTTACAAATTAATTTCTGTATATTCGATACGTTAAGATGTATCTTATTTTCAATACTGGCAGATTCAAAATTAGATTTGAGATTTTGGGGTGAAATAGCAAATACTGCTGTATATACACGAAATAGAATGAAGTCACGGGGGTACATGGAAAAACCTTATACGAAGTGTGGAATCAAGAAATACCAAATGTAAAACATATGAGAAGGTTCAGATGTATGGCATATGTACTCGATAAAGGAGGAACAATGAGAAAACTTGAATCGAAAAGAAAAAGAAGCATTTTTGTTGGATATAACGAAAACAAAAGAAGGTGAAAAATATGATATTATCGAAGCAAATGAAAGAGGAAGTAATGATATAAATATGAGACAGGAAAAAATAACGAGTGAAGGTGAAGACAACGATTATGACGACGCGGGAGAGGAAATGTTAAACGACGAAAATGGTACAGGAGAGACGAATCTAGAAATTAACATGGGAGAAGAAGAACCGATCACGATGACAAGAGTAGGGAGACCGAGGAATGTGACTAAAGAAGCTATGCAGGTAAGACGTTACTTGAAAAAATTAGAGGAATAAAAGAAGTGTGTGGAGATCACCAAGAATTAACCTTTAGAGTGCGGACGACTTTCTGCCGAAGCGCTTCACAGGGACTGTGCGTGCTTAACGCTTACAATCGCTGTGAACGGAACACTTTTCGCTCCTGCGAGCCCTATTAATTAACTGTTCAAGGCGCAACTAACAAGTTATTATCGTAATTCCTTTGCAGCAGATTAAATAATAAAAGAACGTTATTTTCAAGTATCAATTATCTATTAGAATCGATAAAATTTACAATATAACTCAACATAAAAATAAGGAACAAAAACTAAACAAAAATTAATAGTTTATTTGTGTATGATAAATTTTTTTATATTGTTAATATTGTTGTACGTATACTATATTGTTAATACGTTACTAATGATACTCGGAACAGATATACAAAGGAATAAACCCGTCGTCGCGTCTATTATTTGTTCCATCACTTGTCTTTTTTTACTACCGTTGCTAAGAAACACGCATATATTTGTCTCGCATAAAGTTACATGTAATACAATTACATAGAAGCCGAAAAAATTGAACAACGCATATATGCGTCCACCGTCCCGGCTGGTGACTTTCGCCGGACGCATATATGCGTCCATAGCGCTCTAAAGGTTAAGGAAAAAAGGGTAATGAAATGTAGTGTTAAAAAAATTCGAAGTACTGTCACAGAAGCAAAACGATTGAGCAACAATCGTTGGAGCAACAACACTATGTTTGGGATTTAGTTAATGGGTGCAACAGGGAAAAGGGTAATAAGATGTAAATGGATTTTTTCTAAAAAAAAATTGATCCTATTAGTTACACTAGTGTCTGTAGGATGTGCTCAGAGGCCTGTTTTTGAATATGAAGAACATTTTCACCTACGATTCGAATGAAAACGGACAGATTGCTGTTCAGTTTATGTGCCGAACACAGAAAGAAGCTGAAAGTGTACGACGTGAAGACTGCTTTCTTACATGGATCGTTGGAGGAAGAGAGTAGGAAGAGGTACCCAATGGTTTCAAAAATGATTCTGGCCAAGTACGTAAATTGAAATTTATGGTTTAAAACAGGCAAGTCGTCGCTGGAATACATATCCAATCGGATACTCTTTTGCAAATTGGCTTGAAACAATGAACATTTGATCCATGTTCGTTTTATGTTAAACAAGGACATTTTTCGTATTGCAGAGTACACGTGGATGATACGACTGTGGTGAGTAGCATGGACTCATTCGAAAGAATGATATATCGAAGTGAAAGAACCAGACGAGGCTAAACGAGTTCTCGGGATGGAAATAGAGCACAAAGATGGAAAAATATTTATTTTTCAAAAAGGATATATAGAAAATTTATTGAAATTATATAGCATGATTGATTGTAATAAGGCGAGTGCTCCAATGGATACTAATCAAAAATTTCGAGAAGAACAAGAGAGCCAAATGTGCCATGGAAAAGTATACCAAGAGTTGCTGGGAAGGTTAATTGTATTTAAGTGTTGCCACGAGACCGGACATAGCATATACACTTAGTTGTCTGTCTCAATTTAGCAAATGTCCAAAATTGATACATTTGGGTGCATTGAAGCGTATTTTAAGATACTTAAAAGGGGCAATTAATTATAGGATTTAACCCTTTCGCGGCGAAGCGCTCAGAAATGAATTGCGCTCTAAGCTGCCGGCGTGACTGACGATGGAAGATCGAACGCGCGGACAACGCGATACGAAGATCGAAAGCAAACGACTTAATGGACATTATTGGGCAGTTACTGATAACAATTTAACGGCGCCAAAAGGCGCTGTTCGTTCGGAGAGAGCAACTATGTATGAGCGCCAAAAGGCGCTGTTCGCCGCGAAAGGGTTAATATGGAGAAGAGAGTTCGATGAGAAAAATAAGATGCGAAACGGATGAACAGAAACGGCGATCTGATACATTGGAAAAATACCTTTCTAAGAAAGATACAACGAGAAAACCACATGGTTACTACCGTACCTGCTGGAAAACCGCAGATGAATAGAAACCAACGACGAATGGTTGCATTTAACCATAAGAAATACCTCGAAGCACGAAGCCCCGAGGCATGGGCTGACGATCAAGAACCTACGATGCCCGCTGATCGAGGAAAACCTCGGACACAGAATGCTCGATAACCAAACAGGGCGCAAGCTCGAAAGAAGGGCCTGAAGAAGGCTCCAACCGGTCCAAAGGAAACCCGGAACCAACAGCCGGAGTAGTTAAAGCGCGCCAGGAAAACCTGGTAAATGAACCCCTATGACAACGAGGTCCGGTGATTTAGCGTGCTGTACCTTCTCCTAGGGATTAACCCCTTAACCTACAATGACGGGCATAGCCCGCGTACGATGGTTGGGCCAAACCCGAATTTTACGGGCATAGCCCGCGTACGGTGATTGGGCCAGAAGTAAATATTACGGGCATAGCCCGCGTACGGTGATCGGGCCCGATGTAAATATTACGTGGAATATTTGATACGCATTTACAGTCTGATGCAATAATTGTGGTAGGCGCAAGTATTACAAAATATTTATTTATACAAAACTCCAAAATACAAAATTAGTAATCTGTAACGGTATGATATCTTTCGAAGCATTCTGGTACATGTAACGGAACTTTACACTTTTTACACTCCCACGTTGTTTCTTTCCGTTTTTTATTTTTGTGACAAACTGTACAACGTTTTGACGGTCTTAATTTAGAGGG